AACCATTCCAAACTGTCGAGGTACTTTGTAAATGTATAATTAATCTGTACACTTTCATGTGCTTGTTTGTTTGGAAAGGTATATGAATGGTGTAGAGTACTGTGGAGTGTCGGCAATTTGGTTACTTTAGAAATTTTTTAAAACTGTCTTCTATTATTAACAACTTTTACTTATGAGATCTATTTTTATGCTAAAGCCTATTTCCTTAAGCGAACTAGAAATATCGATATCATTAATGTTTTATTTAATTACAATTTTCTTCTTTTTCTTCACGTTTTCCACCATGAAGTAATTATAAAATTGTGCCACAAATAAAACCTTATATCGATGCTAATTTCTTGTGGATCCCTCCAAGAATTGGAAAACTGAGAGAAATTATTTTTAAATTGAACTTGTGGTCAAATGATAATAGCTATGATTGGAAAAAACTAACAGTTTATAGAAAAACAGAAAATAAAATTAAGCCTTTTGCCATTAGCATAAATTTGCAAAAACTTAACTAAAATAAAAATAATCAATAATTATTTTTCTAATGTCTTTGTTGAGATAAAAAAGTCAGAGACACGAGCGGGATTCGAACCCACGACCTTCGGCTAAATACCCGCTGCTCTACCACTTGACTTATTGAGACTTAAATCCACTCAGACACTAACTCCCCATCTCAACTTACAACCTTTAGAATTTTCCCTCTTTTTGCAATTTTTCAAATGTCGTGTAATCAGGATTCGATTCTCGGCGACATATGAAGTGGCCACGGGGAGCTGTCAGTGAAGTTATACTTCGTATTACTCATTAATTCCATTATATTTACTGGTCTGATTGACCAAATAACTTATTTCAATTAGTTAACATTTTTATGTAAGGTTTTGGTTGAAATGAAAAAGTCAGTGTCACGAGCGGGATTCGAACCCACGACCTTCGGCTAAATTTGCCGCTACCCTACCACTTGAGCTATCGTGACTTCGATCCTCTCGGACCCCAACTCACCATCTCAACCTACAACCGTTCGAATTCTCCCTCTTTTTGCCATTTTCAAACGTGGGTTCGAATCCCGCTCGTGACAATGACTTTTTTATCTCAACCAAGACCTTAGACAGAATAAATAATTGATTGAAAGAAGTAACTTGGTCAATTGAATACGAAAAAGGAAATGGGTTAATAAAAATAATCTTAATCTTAATTTAATCTAATAATCTTAATTTTCAAAAAAAAAAAAAAAAAAAAAAAACTCGAATACATATAAGCATATGCTAACAAGGAAACAAGAAAAATATTTTTTAGGACTAAGAAGGTAGTCAATGTTCATGGCTCTTCTGCTTTTCTTACTTCTGGTTACGTCCTTTCGAAAGCACGGTCCGATCTGCCGTTTTCTCTCTTGCTTCTCCCTTCCATTCTTTTCTTTCACCAATTACCGTCGAGCCGGCATTTTCAAATTTATCGTGATAACCTAAACCTTATTTTTAAGCTTAAAAAACAAAGTCACTGATTTTTGTTAGAACTTAGAATTTGATGTACGCTGTGTTTTTCTTATCATTTTTATAAACCATATTGTTTTGTATTCGCTTATATCATTTCTAAAAAGTATAATTTGCGTACTAAGTATTACAAAAGATTGGAATTGAACTAGAGCTCAGAAAAAAAATTCTAGGCAATTTTTCGGTAGATTGAACAATCTTATAAGAAAGAATTGATAAGCCCTTCTTCACAACGTTCGGCATATCCTTGTATTGAGGGAAAATAATAGAAGTTTGACTGATAATAGAATGAGATTGAATTCTTTTCTGGCGAGTATTTTCCTCTCTTTTTTACATAATATTTCGGTACAAAACGGATTCATGTTTTACGAATGGTGTTTAAATCTATATTCTTCTAGTAAGATTACTAGATACACATGCCTAGAATATAATGATTAAGATACAAAGAAAACAAGTAAAAGTTCAGTTACACTTGGAAATGAATGTCAGTACCACTTCGACAAGTGAAGTTCTGAGAAAATTAATTATATAATTTCCCCCATTGTTACCATGGATGAGCAAGATCAGTCGCAGGCACAAACTCGACCGGACTTGATTAGGGCCTCGAGCTACCAGTCACTTTGACCCTCGGTGACGCCCATTAGATTTATCGGGTTACCCCGTAGGTCATTATACTCTATTCCAATCGGATCAATAGATAAAACAGCGTCCAATTTGTCATTTCAGTTGGATTCGGAACTTGTACGGCATATCGCTGTAATCGCGAGCCTCATGTTGGAAAAGTGGTAAAACTGTTCTCCAATCGTATAAAAATAGCTCATACTTTTGCTAATTAATTCATTAAACCAGTTTTGTAATCAATCTAATTTCTGGATATAGGTCACCGATAAAAAAACAAAAAACATTTGTTGGACTGGCACTGGGTCATTTTACCGGAGTCCGTCACAGATTTGTTGAAATACTGAAACGCGTTTCGGCATTGCGCCATCTTCAGAGAGGAAATATCTATCACTTTGTCCGAGTAGTGGTTATATGTCGTTCGGTCTGTCGTCGTTAATTAAAATATGTACTAAATTATATGCCAACAATAAAAACAAACATTTGTATTATTAATTTGTTTGATTCGTGATGTGCGGTCAAGAATGAGGTAGTTTAGAAAAACATCTTTTTTCATTTTTTTGCCGACGTTTCGACCTTTATTCGGGCCATCTTCAGGGCATAAAGTGTGGTGATATTCTTGTGGTGTCATGTTTGTGTTGTGAGACAACAATTTTCTGGCATAACTAGTTTACACAACTATATCACACCACAAGAATATCACCACACTTTATGCCCTGAAGGTGACCCGAATAAAGGTCGAAACGTTAGCAAAAAAATGAAAAAGGTGTTTTTCTAAGCGCCCACATTCTTGACCCCACTTCACGGAAAAAACACGCATTTGTATTATTGCTAGTGCTTGAATATCTCTACTAAGGAAGTATACTCGAAAAATTCTCACGTATAATTTATTTAATTTTTATCTTCCCGAATTGGTAAATACCGTATAACATAATTTTGCAATACATATTTCAGCCCCCTTTAATTTTCTAGAACAATGGAAAGAATTATAATTAAAATCTGTTAAATTATACCTGTCCCAATTTGATTTTTCGTATTGCCGAAAAAGTAATTAACGTTAATATATTATTATTACGTTAGCATGTAATTATATATATAAATACAATATTATTTATATATTTAACATTCATTATGTCTAACACTTGATTAGATTAGATTTAGGTGCGAAATTTGAAATATTGTTAAATTATTGAACGGCAAATCGCTAAAGTTTAACTTTATGGCAAATCTATTTATTTATAATATATTCCATTGCGAATTAAGAGTTCGTAGTATCAGAAAAAAAGCGATAAGCTTTGAGTACATCTTAAATATATTCAAGACGGGGAGAAGGTCATTTATCATGCAAGCGTGAATTGGGCATTTCGTCATGAATATGGAACAATGACTTCATCATGATGAAATAATATTATTAGTAGGTCCCTGATGTTATTGATTTTCGTGACGAGCTAAAATTGTTAATAATAAAAGAAAAGTTGAAATAGCATGTTTCTGTTGTGTCCATATTTGAGGATTTTTAAAAAGTTAAAATGTTTTACACGGTCGAAACTAATATTTTTTTATATGCGTGGAGTAAGTAGTATAAAAAGTTTACTGTAGCATATAACGAAAATTTCCCACTCTGTGATTGAAGAAGAAGTTTTTTTAATTTCGTATTCTTATCGTAAATTTTTAGAACCGGCGTTATAAGATAAAGTACAGCCAATAAGTAAGAGGCAAGTAAAAGTTCCAAGAGGTGCTAATTTGTTTTCATATAATTATGTTTCTTGTCCGTCAATAATTCATTTACTATTTGTACTTATATGTTTAAAACGAGTGCGGAAATACAAACAAATGTTATTATAATGTCATGATATAAAGTCAGATATGGGCAAGCAGATTAAACATATCACTTGAATGTTCAAATAGTTTCGCTCAGTTGAAAAGGCGTGTAGACCATTTGTCAAAAAGATGTGACTATAGTAGAATGAAGCTCGTCCGAACTAATTAAGAACGATGCCAGATAACTGAAATTATGCAGAAACAGCAGCAAAACTAGTCTATTTTTTTAAGGAATAAATATACACATGTCGGACTGACATTCGGTGTATGCCTGTTTTTCCCAAAAGTAAGTCTCCATGTGTCAATCTCTCATGACCGAATGTTTGAATAAAGTTGTCATTTGTGGCATTAAATAATTTGTGATGTTTTTATTATGTTTATATGTATATTAACATATTACGAGGGTTCGTAACAGCAGAGGTTATATCAACCCTCATGGTGCCGGTGTTTTTGAAAAACAAACATTTGTAAGTATGTCGGGTTTGAATGCAGGGCCGCTGGATTCGAACCAGGGACCTTTACCTTACAGTGATGAGCGCCGTATCAACGCCTAAACCGTTGCGGCCACCGACGCCCTCCTTTTGTATTGTATTGTGTTATGTTCCAGATTTAATTTGCACACTTATGCACAACTTTATGCTTTTTTTTTCTACTACTTATATATAAAAGTTATGTTAATGATAGTCAGACCATATTACTTGAGAACTTTTTCGTAATATACTTAAGAATAAATAAATTCACTAATTTCGTGGTCCGCTTGACCAATTAATACATTACAATTAATTAAGGTTTTTAGTTGAGATGAAAAAAAGTCAATGGCACGAGCGGGATTCGAACCCACGATCTTCGGCTAGATACGCCGCTGCTCTACCATTTGAGCTATCGTTTCCTCGATCCACTCGGACATCAACTTCCTATCTCAACCCCACTCGTGCCATTGACTTTTTTTCATCTCAACTAAAAACCTTAATTAATTGTAATAAATAATAACGGAACAGCAGGCATATGCTTAGAGGTTTTTGAACTTATTGCAATTTATAACGTTTTTACAAGGTGAATTATTTTTATAAAAAGCATCTTTCGCACCTGTATACGTTTCCGTCATTTGGAGCCCAATCACTGTAGAGATCTTCTCTAGATAAGTTCATGGGCGAGTGGCCAGGTAGGCAGTTACATCTAAATCCTCCTCTTTCAGTACCGTAGCCTCTCAAGGGAACGCACTGAAAATGCAAAGGGGAAAACAATTAAAATGTCTATTTTTGCACCAAGGTGAATACCGTTGTGGAAAGCGGATCGCATCTCGGCCCACCGGGCAGCGCGGGCATCAAGTCGTCATTGCATTGGTCCAATTCAGCTCTAGCTAACGGGTAGTAGAGTCCGACTACGCCTCTGTGAAATAGAACAAAATTAAATAGTTTTATTTATTTATATATTTGGGGGGGATTTTGGTTGACCTGTTTTCACTGAGCGGAGAAACATATCCGAAAACCCACAGTCGTAGAGAGCAGTCGAAAAACGGATGGGTCCATGAACCCGCGGTAGGGTTTGTCGCGTTGAGCTTATGAAGGGAATTCAAATAGGCCTGCGATGTGCTATTCGCTCCTCCGCCACGGTAATGAACTTTCGCCTTTAACAAAGACAAGGCCGTCACAATAAAGAAAGAACAAACAAGAAAAAAAAACATTTGTTTTTCGTTTTTACCGGGTCTGATCCGATCCTGAATAGGACCGAGACCGGTTCCGGGTCCGTGGACAGAAGGGACTGTGCCCATTCTTTATGCGGTTTCGCATTTTGGTCGAAAGCGGTTGCCGAATCCAAAACACGCGACGACAACCGGTCAGCCTGGAGGGATATCGTCGGCAGTTCTTTCGTCTCGCAGTCTTCTCCCTCACCTTCTGTTGATAACGTGCATGAGAAGAGAAGCACTACTACACCCCACAGCATCGCATCACAAACCCTGCAACAAGCAATCACTCCATTGAAACTTCAATATTATCTATAAAAAAGGGACGAAATGTGGTGCACATTAAGTTATTAAAAAGCTGCCAAAACAAATTTGACGTTTATTAGGTTACAACATGGAAATGAGAAGAAAAACTACTCTACAGTAGCAGTCCTAACCATTTATGTTATTTACTTTCACTGTCTCTTAAAAGGTCGCGAGGCCAGTGGCTATTCAATCTACAGAGAGGGTTATCTTGAATGGTTCGGGGAGATAAGTTTCTAACAAGAGATTTTGAATAATAGGATAATCGTTTGTGAAACTCCTTGTACTTGTTTTTACCGACTTAGAGAACAGGTTGATAAGACCGTTGTGGATGATACATGTTGGATACATGAGAATACTGTAGGTTTCTCTGGTTGAACTTCAAATGTAATGTATATCCAAATGACTCCAAACGCGCGCTAGTTTAGCAGTCGATTTTATCGTCCAGCTTCATTTAAAAAAGTTGGAGGTGTTTTTTTTAGTCTTTCTTGTTTAGCCGAATGTAGCAGCGATTTAGCTGGTCGGAGAGGGATATGATGTGAGGTGATGTTTTCCAAGTTCATGGTAAAAATTAGGAGGAGAGTACGAAGAATTGCAGCCTCATCTGGTGGTGAGGATGGCTTCAGTGAGGTTGCAGTGTATACAATGTAGATGATGGGTCTTAAAATACCTCCTTGGGGCACCTCCGCCTCTGTGCGATAGCAGGTGGATCGAGAGGCTCCACTGATGATGAAAGTGAGTTTAGGGTCAAGTAGTAGGTAAAAGGAAAATCATAAAATATTTCTTAAGAAATTCCTGAAGCCAGAATTTATCAGTAGGTACCTTTCCTAAACATATAATTCTCAAACTTCTCTTGTGCCGAACCATTTGTGTGCTTTGGGTAAATCAAATCTTTCCTGGTTTATAAGTTTCAAGAGATTTACGGAGTTATACGGTCAAGCTAAATGATAAAATTTAAACTATTATCATATAAGACAGAATAAATGTAAAACAAATTTTTAATTTAAGTGATGATATAAGATGATCGATCAGTGCAAATTTGTTTAATAGGGCATATTTCAGCAAATACTTATTATTGGGTTGTCCGGAAAATAATGCAGGATTTTAAGTTTTCATTAAAAAAAATCTATATAAAATATTCTGTTTACGTTTACAGGTTTGTTTACCTCTGTAGCATTCCGCTACTTGGAAATAATTCAGTCATCCTTATAATGTCAAAGCGAGAATTTCGTACGATTTTCTTTTACGAGTTTAAACTCGGCCGAAGCGGAGCCCAAACGGCTAGAAACATTAACCAAGTCTGGGGCGAGGGTTGTGTTAATGAGTGCACTGTGCAAAGGTGGTTTAAAAAATTTCGGGAGGGAGATTTCAGCCTTGAAGATGAAGAAGGTCGTGGAAGGCCTTCCTCTCTTAATGATGATGTTCTGCGATCAGTGGTGGAAGAAAACCCCAAAACAACTGTTCGAGAACTTGCAGAGCAACTCAAAGTCAGTAAAACGACCGTCGCTGACCACCTCAAGGCGATTGGAAAAGTGAAAAAACTCGAAAATTGGGTTCCACACTCATTAAACGATCGCCAAAAAATCAGCGCTTTTATGTTTGTGCATCACTTCTTTGTCGAAACAAAAATGACCCATTTCTGGCCAGAATTGTTACATGTGACGAAAAGTGGATTCTCTACGATAACACTAGACGTTCTGGACAGTGGCTCGACAAAGGAGAAGCTCCAATACATTTTCCAAAGCCCCCAACTCATCAAAAAAAGGTAATGGTTACGGTATGGTGGGCTTCATTTGGTTTAATACACTACAGCTTCTTAAATCCTGGCGAAACCATCAATGCTGAATCATACTGTAACCAAATTAATACCATGCATCAGAAATTGGCAGTAATGAAGCCCTCTTTGGTCAATCGGAAAGGGCCCATTTTGTTGCATGACAACGCTCGACCACATGTGTCACGTGTAACGTCACAAAAATTATTGGAGCTTGGCTATGAAACTTTGCCTCACCCACCCTACTCTCCGGACCTCTCGCCTACTGACTACCATTTTTTTAGACACCTGGACCACTACTTACAACACATAATATTCAAAAATCAAACGGAACTGGAAAATGCATTTATTGACTTTATCAATTCTAAAAATTCTGAATTCTACTCAGACGGAATTAATAAGTTACCAACACGTTGGGAGAAATGTATTGAGAGTATGGGAAATTATTTTGATTAAAGAACATTGCTTTAAAGTAACTAGTTTCTTTTTTTTTGTTTAATACCAAAATCCTGCATTATTTTCCGGACAACCCAATATTTGTAGAGGAGAAATTATATACTTGTGTACACACTTATATTTATTTTGTGTAGTGTACTTTTGATAGCTTATCAGAATTGAAAATTCCATCAGCCTTTTCTATTATTTACGTCTTAAATAAAAGATTTATTGTTAATAGCAAAAAAAACTAGGGTACTCATTTAATATTGAGGAAACAGGACTGATGAATAATTCGTTTTATTACGTCATACGTTTGTAAAAAATTGCGAGCTTCTTTTTAATACAAAAATCAATAACAGTTGATATTTATAATTAATTGATTAAATCATAGTCAACGTAATTTCAACAAATCTATTAACGGTAAATATTTAAATCTGAGTCTAAACTTATGTTTGAACAATTATTTCAACTTGAACATGAATTTAATCTCGTTCACTGTGAATTTTGAAGTGAGTTTTCCTGCCAGATTTTAATGAAGATACGATGATGTTTGGCTAATAGCTGATTAGTTACTCAGGCAGTGGAAAATTACGAGTTAAGTTGTCTAATTTCCAAGTTTCTGTACGGTCAGTTTTGAAATATGACAGCAGCTTTAGCAAATTGGCTTCTCACTCTCTCTCTCTCTCTCTCTCTCTCTCTCTCTCTCTCTCTCTCTCTCTCTCTCTCTCTTTCTCTCTTTCTATCTATCTCACTCATTCACTGACAGATAGATAAGAGAAAATGAGTTGGAGGTACATATATACTAGGTGCCCCGTGAACAAACGTCAATACCTCAGGAGGTAATCCTACGGGTCAAATTGGACATAAAAGTCTACATTGTTTAAGGACTGATTCTCAATTCTATTCAAATTTTTTCAGGTTACTTAAACTTTTCATAACTTTATTCTATAAGTCCATCGTATCTTGTAGAATGTTAATTCTACTTATTAAATATATTATATTTAGTGGTCTATTGACCAAATTACTTCTTTCAATTAATTAATCTTTTTATGTAAGGTTTTAGTCGAAATGAAAAAGCTAGTGTCACGAGCGGGATTCGAACCCACGGCTCAATACGCCGCTGCTCTAACCTATTCAGCTATCGTTAATTCTACTCTAAATTTGATTACACTAACAAAAAAACATTGAAAACTTGTTTAGTTTTGTATAAAAAATTCCGTTTTCCCCCCACAAAATTGTGAAAGGTTGAAGAAACCTGAAAAGTTAAATTCTGGAATACGATTGAGAATCAGACTTTCGTCAGTAGGAATTTTTTTAGTATTCTTGAACACATTCTTTTGTCTGTTTGGTCGTACACGGCTAAAATTGTTTTCCCGACAATAGTCACATATTCTGGAATGTCTATTGATTCAATCACCACACCGAAAGTTTGTCTATAAATATTCCCAAATCGGAATAGTGACGTACAAGTTTCAATTTGTCGATTTTGAAAATGTGGACAATCGAGTCTTCATAAAACATTCTGTTTGACAATATTGTTTTAACATTTGCCAAATTTAAACGAATAGGGTTCGCTTTATTTAATTAACCAACTGGCGTACAGTTCGAGATTCTTTGAGTGTGTGAATCGGAAGGTAAATAAAAGTGAAACAAAATAACATCTGATATGTGTTCCAAAAATTACTCATCCCATAAACATGAATAAGCAATAAAAAGGGAAAATGTACAGTATTATAGTTATAATATTATTAAGTATTATCAGGCTGTTTCATTTTAGCATTTAAGAACTAACATTGTTTGGTTCTGAAAGTATATAAGACCACATTTGTCCTATTGATAATTTAAAAATAACTTTTAAAAGGTTGTCTAAAAATACAAGTTCAATAATCATCAGACCATGTAGGGGTGTAGTGTAGCCTAAATATATAAAATTTTTTTAGCAGTATTTGTAAAAAAAAGATCATCAGTTGTTTCAGCCAGTGAATAATATAGCGCACTTTGCCACAAGGATAATGGTAATTAGTGAACTGTGGAGATTGCTGATGGGACTTATCTTCATTGAAAAAAATGCAATATGTTCTTACTCCAGACAGAAACCATTTACGAATCAGGCTAGAATACATTAATTTTACTTAAAGAACACCCAATCCCAGTTGGATCTTGTACAAAAGCTTAGCATAAACTTTTCAACGGAAATTAATTGATTGATTGATGGGTTCGGTGGTCCCCCGGCGGAGCACCGAGGAAAAGAATAAAACAATTATTATGAGGAAAGCCGAACGGCCATCAGTCACGCAGACGGGATAGATTCGACAAGAGGCTCCTGAAAACGGAAAAAGGGAACCCCAGCAGGAGTCGCATTGATGACTCCAATAAATTACGCCTATGAATATTGAAAAGTTGGAAAACTTTTCTTGGCGGTCTCATTCATTTCGTAGAATGAAGAAAGGGTCGCTTGGAAATGTAGATAGGTGCCACAATAGGAGAAACCACCCCTCTTTAGACATTGATCCATTTATATTTCCTCTCTGTGCCCTTCCATTATAGAATATATATACTCTCTTAACAATAATTTTTCTGCCGCCCGTTTCTATAATATATTATTTGTTCGTTTTCACATGAAAAATTTTTCTAGTTAATTATTTATGAAGTAAGATATTTTAAGTCTTATAAAAGATATTTGAAAGACAATTTATATAATCGATATACAATTTACATTTTTATATATACCAATAATCTTGAGTCAGAAAATAAGGGA